TCATCAGCCTGACCTTTGGTCATCAGAAAAATGTAAAACATCTCAGAGTTATTCCCCAAATCCAAGTCAGGTTTCATCTGCGCTGAACATTTGGTGCAATAACTGGGAATTTCACAAATTAGCCAGCCTGAAGTCACTGCTGGCAGTGGGGTCTCTGGGTGATTTGTACTTGACAGTGTGTAAAGACCAGAATCCATCATTCCAACCTGGTGGAAAGAGATTTCAATGGTTTTTTCATTTGGTTTGAGTTTAGTCTTTTGCTGTTGTGGTTTGTGGGGTTTTTTTCAGTTTGTTTGCTCGTTCGTTTAAATTGTTGTAGAGGATTTTTTCCAGCATAGTGACTGGAGCTTGCTTAAGTTTCTATTTACTCCAAAGGGTTGTTATGTAAGAGCTAACCTCATTGTTCTAAAGCAAAATGAGTAAATGATAAATGAAGGTGTTTGGCAGCAGTTAAGCAAAATAAGTTTGTCTGCAGAGAAAGGAGGTGAAGGTCTTGATTTTTTGGGGTTTTTTCTCCTCTCCATCCTCCTGCATGATGGGTGATGCTCTCCCATGTCCATCAGGTCATTGTCCATCACTGGACTTCAGAAATTTCTTAAATTATTTTTATTTATGAATAATCACCACACAGACAGGATCTTTTAGGGAGATAACAGCTGGAAGAACAAGGAGACCCTCATAGTGGAGGTCACAACATGTAAAAATGTAATGTTCATTGTAATAAGAAATACCTGAAAATGGAAAGAAACCTTTTGCTGTTTAGTGCATCACAAATACCAAACTGCACTCAGGAAAGGAGGGAGCTGATTTAATAACACCTGGTCTAGATAACTTTGAAATGTCTGCCATGGTAATTACATGTTAAAGATACAATTTCACACTGCTTATAATGTCAGAAACTGTTTCTAATTATACATTACCCAGAAAAGGGCCTTGCTGCCTTCTGTCTTCAAATTATTGCTTTTATCCCAACACCACCTGTCCAGGTAGGTAATATTATGGCTAGTGTTGCTTCTGAAAACCCCCTGATCATTTATGGATTTATGCTCACTGCATAAAAATCCTTTTCCTGAACCCTGCAAGTTCCCAAAAATGTGATTATTGCTGCATTTCAGTCAGAGAAAATGTCACAACAGTGGCAGGGGATTTTCAGTGGCCTTCTATGAATAAAAGAAGAAAACTTCTGTTCCAAAAATACATGTAGTGACTTCTGCCTCACCATTTTGCATACCAACAAGTCCTTCATTAAGTTTCAGTCTCTCAGACACCTCTCCCCATATGCAGCACTGAGTTACTTTCCATTAAAATCAGCCTCCAGAGATGGATGTGCAGCTTCCATGGCTTGCAAACATCTTCCCCCAGCCCTCACCTCGCCAGAGAAATGTTATTTCTGACGCCCTGCCCGCAGTACTTTGTGTTCTCTCTTAATCAATCAAAGTGTCCTTATCTTTGCTGCACTTCATCTTGTCTAACAAGTGTTCCCAAGAGCACCTGAGTTTTATTTCTAGGAATAAGTGTGTTGTCTTATTGGGACCATGTGTTCTTCAGAGCATGCCCTGTGCCCTCACACAGGAGAATCCACACTGATTCATTCCCAGAGCTCGAACTTTGAACGCTCATATTATTTTTATTAAACTTAACTCTGGTTCTTTCTCCCTTCTCCCCTTTCCCCTGCACCCTGCAGCTATATCCAGCCTCAGAATCAAAGCAGGAATAAATGCGAAACACATTGAAAAGAGGATTATGTGCATATGGAGGAGGATTGACATCCATTTCCAAACTGGGAAGATTGAGTTATACCAGTTTTGCCCTTGGTTATCCACCTAAGATGCCTGTGCAGGTGAGTGAACGCCTGAGCACCCAAGGAAGACACCCTGGGAAGTGTCTCAGCACAAAGTGTTGGCCAACCTCTATGGTTGTGTTCAAGGGTCCCAGGACGAGGGAAGAGATGAGAATCTTGGCTCCATGTTTCAGAAGGCTGATTTAATATATTATGATATATATTATATTAAAATGCTGTACTAAAACTATACTAAAAAGAATAGAGAGAAAGGATCCATCAGAAAGCTGGAAAGGAAAGGAATGGAATGAATAACAAAACCTTGTGACTGCTCACAGCCTCGACACAGGTGGCTGTCATTGGTCATCAAGTAAAAACAATTTCACATGCTGGGTAAACAATGCTCCAAATCACATTCCAAAGCAGCAAAACATGGAGAAGCTGAAGCTTCCCAGCTTCTCAGGAGAAAAGATCCTGGGAAAAGGACTTTTCATAAGATATGTCTGTGACAAACCTTACAAACCTCTTCTCAAGCCCCTCCTTTCCGTGGCCACTCTCTGGGAAGGATCTGAGTTCTCTTCCCATCTCCCTGGCTGCTCTGCCAGGTTGGTTCGTGGCAAGGCAATAAGAAACCAGCTGGAGATTCCTGGCTCTTGCTGGGCCATTGTCACTTCAGTGTGACAGTGAGCTCAGCAGATGTGAGGCCACCTCTGGGTGAGTTTGATTTCTCCTGATATTGATAAAAAATCAGCCCCAGCCTTGAGTAGGTCCTGGTTGGATTGCAGCTGTTCCTCAGAAGGTGATGTAAGAAAAGGGAGAGGAAAAAGAAGAAACTGCCCAAACCTCAGCAAGGTTTTGTCCATCTTCAGGGCTGCTTTTGTGCTGGAGTGGTTTGGAGCAGGGTGCTGACATCTGTTTGGAACAAATGCCACGTTCTGTCCCTCCAACACCACTCTCCACAAGTCAGTCCTGATTATCAGTGTGGATGTGGTGCTGAAATTTGGTCCTGAACTACGAAATTTGCTCTATAACCTTTTGTCATTCCCAGAATGAAAATTGTCCAAGCACATCCTCATCCCACAACTTTCCTTGGAAATTATCCTCCACCCTCACATCAGACTGAGGGATGGAAAACATTGAGAGATCTCTAAAGCCAACAAGATCAGGGCAGGAGCCCAGATTTCTCCTCTCTGAGCCACAGCTGCCCAAAAGCTTGATAAATACCAAAATGGCTATTTTAATGGTGAGAAATCATTAAAAAAAAATCACCAAAAAAAAAAATAAAACCCCAAAACCTTAGAATTGTAGAAATGTGAAAAATCTTGCTGTAATAGTAGCAGACTGCTGAGAATCAGGCAGGATGGTGCCCACAGCTCAGTTTAAAAAAAAAAAAAAAACAAAACAACCAGATTAATGGGCATAATCAAGCCTGACATTGAGTAAGAGGCAAGAACAAGTAATCAGATCCCAACTTAGCTGATGCTGGCATTACTGGGAGCCTGGGGCACAGTCCAAGGATAAAAACATAACGTCTTATCTGAGCAAGGACTCATTTGTGCACCAGGTTACAACACGTCCTTAAAAAGGGAAAGAAGGAAAAGGAAAATATGGCACATGAAATTATTTTATTTCCCAGAAACGATAAGAAAGTAAAGCTAAAAGTTTCTACACCCAATCTTTATAGAGGAAAAGCCTATCTAGAGTTAACCCCTTACAATGTCTACTGTAAAGCCCCAGGATACGGAAAAAGATATTAAAACAAAAAGTGAAATGGGGATTAAATCAAATTAGTATAATGAAAGCAATTAAAGATCCAGATTTTGGAATAATTCTTGCTATTTGGAGATTGCTGGGATCCTTGAGGCCGGCCTGCTCCTCGGTTCAGTGAGAGTTCAGGCAGTCTGGCAATCCCATCCTTTTGGCCAAGACTCCTTTTCTGGCAACATGTCTCCCTGTTTCTCAAGAACTCTTCTTTTTCTCCAGATTCAACAGGATGTTGACCTGGATGTCTCAGAACAGCTCATGGAGAGGAAAGACCCTCTGACACAAAAGCACGTCACTGGAGAGGGAGCTGTAATGTCAGGGAGGGCATCTGGAAGATCAAAGTGGGAATAAACTAATCACTCCAAGCTCTATGGCTTTGCATGGCTGAGTTTCACTTCCAGCCTTTTGAAGCACAGCTCATGGGCTTTAACAAGGAAAGAACTTTTGTGTAAAATTCAGTAAATCGAAAAAGCTGGTTTGTGTAAAATTCAGTAAATTAAAAAAAAAACCCAAAAAACCTCAGACCAAAGAACATGGGCCTGTAGGGGAAAAAATGGAATTTAATTTCTGTACTACAGACCTTTCCCAGAAAAGCCAGGAGGGGGTCAGCGTGAAATGCAACACCAGACATCTGGGAGGGAGTCTGCCCAGTCCTCCCAGCCTTTTCCATTTCCATCATTTGCCATCGTTTGAAACTTTCCATGATGACAACTCACCAGCAGAGCCCAGCTCTTCCCCAGAGGGAGCTCTGGGACACTGGGGCTGCCTGGAGTCGGGAGGAAGACACAGGTGAGAGGGTGGTGAGTGGAAGTCACCTCCTGCACCTCGCCTCTGCTTTTGGAGCAGGGTGAGACCATGTGTACAGCCGGAATGAAGCCTCATTTTCCCCTTCCAGCTGCGACTCGAGGTGTGAGCACTGTGGTGTCTCAGGGAAGTGACTCAGGTTCTCAATGCTGACCTGCCTTAATGGTCTTCATTCGGTAGGACATTGATTTATTGTCCTCACGAGCCTCAAGTGACACCGTTTGCTCTTTCCCCAAGGGCTGGTAGGCCAGCAAGGTGACAACTGGTGACTGGAGGTGACCACTGCTCTGCTCTGGGAGAGTGACACATGTGTGTGACGGCCTCTCCTCAGCCCTTCTCAAAATGTTTGTGCAGGGCAGCCATAAATGCGGCTGTATCGACCCGAAGATGCAATCCAAGGCGCTTGAGCCTAGGCCTTATCTACATCACCTTATCAGGAGCCAGAGAGCGAGATGCACCCCGGGAAGGGAGGGGACTACGCCAGAGGGTTTGGCCTCGTCCCTTCTCTTCTGGCACGGGGAGGGACTGCGGGCAGAGCTGGGTAATGATTTGTCATCGCGAGGACCGGGGTGTCTCTCTCTGCAGAGGAAACCGGGGCCGTGATTGACAGTGGGGCTGTTTCTGCCACTTCCCCCGCTGCTGTCAAGTAATAATGAAGCTTTGTCAGTCCATCATGGACATGGATATGCCAGATTATGTCGACTCCTTGGACTCCTCTTATACCATGCTGGAATTCGACAACCTCCGCGTGCTCCCCAATAACACCGGTGAGATTCTTGTTCTTTTTCTCTTGAATAAGCTCCACTACTTTTGCTGTAAAGCTGGACACAGAGGAAAGGCTGGTGGGAGATATGGGGCAAAGGGTGGAAGGGGTAATATTTAAGCAGCTGACCTGTCAACCTCTGTTGGATCCGTGGTTATGCTTGGGCTGAAACATGACCCCTTCGCTGGTCGGTCCTGTTTTGGGTTATTCTTTTCATTGGTGGGCTGAGCGTCATGCCCTGAAGAGCCCACCAGGTTTTGCAGGTGTTGGTAGAGGTCTTCATGGCATACCCTGGATTTGTCCTGCTGTATTGCATATGAGAGGAGTTATTACCAATATTTCTCGTTCAAATGTGTGTTCCTTTCCCGTGTACGACTTCAGTTGACATTTAATCCTCGGGAAAACATGCTGTCCCAAACAACATTTGTCCATGACCGTGTGCCCTGTTTGAGTTGGTCCTGGGAACCTGAATTGAGAAGCAATATCCAAATCATTGCTAGCTTTGTGTTCCTTTTCTGGCTACCATGATGGTCCAACAGCTTTTAGGGCACAAAGGACTTGGCTGGGAGGCGGGAGTGTTTATACGCCGAGACTTCCGCTTGGTTCGCAGGAGTAAAGCGCTTTGTGTGGTATTTAATTTTTCTGCAGTCAAAAGTACTCTGGCATAAAGTGAGCTCCATCCTGTGAAATCAACTGCTCGCTGTGTAAAAATAAAGGGCATTTGGTCATCTTGCCCGAAACCATTTGTGCAACTGAATGAGATCCGGGCATTAACGATCCCTTTGGAGAGTTTTGGCAGGCTTTTAATTTGTTAAGAAGCTTAGTGAAATTAAGATGGGATTTTCACATTTGCTCATTAACTGGCTTATCCAAAGAAATCAGAGTTTCAGTAGGGATATCACCTACAATATAAAATTATTAGACTTACTATTGTGGGGCCTGGAGGGAGGTCAGAAGACAAGTAAAGTTAAAAGGCCCAAAGGAACTTGAATTTAAAATTACCTTCTGTAAAGCTCTGGCTGTCCCCAAATCAAGGATTTTCGATATATATAATTTTTGTAAGCTCCAGCTAGACTGGATCTTATTTTTGCAGAAAGTTTTCCACCTCCCATCCTATTCCAGAAATGTCATTTAACACAGATGTTTTGCTTTGTCACTTCCCGTTGAACAAGAAGATACTTTTCACTTTTTGAAGCAGCACAAATTTCCCTGAAATTCAATATAATTTTGTAAACGAACCACCAGTATCTGTTTGGGCTCTCTGTTGATTCATGCAGTAGAACTGACAGGTTGAGTTTTTTTCTGAACTTTATCGAACTCAGTATTGTGTTATTTGTTTAGCTGTTAATGACTAACCAGCTCTCTCGGGAAGTAGCTGCTTTGAAATTAGCTTGTTTGTCTTGTGTAAGTGTCCTTTTCTATGGTTTGTAAAAATAACTTCAAAAAATACATGTAATGGCCATGCATGGAAATCTATTGCTGTCCAGCTGAGGTAATTCAAAATCAGAGTTTCCTTGTGGCTTCAAAAATATTTTAAAATTTCTTAGAATCAAGAAACAACCTCATTTTAGGTATTTTTTTAGAATTATACTGGATTTTTTTAAGATTGCTTATATCTCTCCTAAGGTTCATCTGTGTTTTCCCTAGTAAATGATGACAGCTTTGCCCTCTATAAACATGAACAGGAAAGGATGAAATATTTATCTTGGTGGACTCAGCTCAGTTTCTTACCTTCTGAACAATTCCAAAAGTGAAAATTGGACTATTTTCAAATAAGGTCATGCTTTCTTGAAACCAGCACTTTCCTTCTTCAGAACATTATTTCATCAAAATTTTGGGTGGAATAATTCTGTGGAGCACTTCCTGTGCTTAGATGTTTCTTCTTCATGAAGTTGCTGTCATTCTGAGATTTGCCCAGATATTGGCAAATTGGATTTTCCACCTTCAAATAGCCAAATATTTTAAGATTAATTCAAAATAAAGAATAGAACGCTTTATGGGAGTGATATAAGAAATATGTAAGGTTTAAATAGAAAGACTGGCAAAAGCAAAGGAGCAAAAATCACTGCTAATTCTGTCTTTCCTATGTGAAATATGTGTTGCAACAGCAGAATTTTTCCCATTCTGTACAAGTTTGTTTCCTTCACCTTGGCTGGCACTAGAACCCACATTTTCAGTTTTGATGTGTGGTTAGTGGCCATTCCCTCACTCTCCTGTCAGAGCTGTCTCATATTGGTGAAGATGTGAAGCACTGCTGCAATGCAGCCCCAATTCTTCATCGGAGAGTTGGGGAGCGCTTTCTGCCAGGGTGGTGCTCATTGTCCTGCCTCAGCCCCACACTCCACACTGATCCTTGGGACCCTGGCACGAGGTTGGTGAAATCTTTCCCAGCCCTGCAGGAGTCTGACCCACTTCAGACCGTGCAAAAGCCACCAGAGATGTTTTGGGAGTGATTTATCATCCCTTGAGCTTCCAGTGCCTGAACAGCACCTTCATCATTGCTCCTCTAGGATTTGGGGTCACTAAATCACAGCTATGTTCTGTATCTCAAAAACTCCTCTATTTGCTAAAACCTGATGTAGAAAGAGGCTGACCCGCACGTGGCCAGGGTTTAAACCCCCTCCTGCCCTACATTTGTGTGTACAGGTTTCACAATACTGGCTTTGGCACCAAGTTTGGCTGCGTGAGTTCAAGCCCTAAACCCACACTTGTGACCTCTTCACATTCTAGCCCAGCACATGTAATTTGGGGATTTGTTAACTGCAAATTATCTGCACCAAAACTAGGATTTCCTGGTAGATAAAAGCCACCCTGGAAAGTATTGCAGGACAATTCTCTTTTACAATGTGCATCTAGAGGAGCTGTAGCCAGTAAAGGAACTGAAAGGAAAAGCAGTGCAGGGGTCAGGTATGATGAGAACATCCTCAGTGTCATTCCTTATCACTGTAAAACTGGCATTATCATCTCAGCCCTGGTTAGACAATGATTAACATACAGAGGCAGTAGGTACCAAAAAATCTGTGTGCATTTCAGTTGTGAACTTGGCTGATCCCAAATCTGGGGAAGCCACCGGGCGCTCTTCTCAGCCTTAGGGAGCTCCGTCTGCACACTGACCGTATATAACTCAAAAAATGGTTAAAACTTCAGATATTTCTGCCAGTGAACCTTGGGGGCAGCCCCAGTGAGGGGTCTGGCCACAAGCAGAGCCTCAGCTCAGCCTGGGAGCACAAAAAGTCAGGATGAGTTGTGGTCTCTTCCTGGAGAACAAAATCAAGTGCATCTCTCCAGTGGAGATGGCAAAGGCACCGTGGCAGAACACAGGAGCTGCTCAGATTGTCTCCCTGTGTCAGGCAGGGATGGAGCACACAAAGCAGATCCTGGCCTTCCTCTGCCTTTCCTCACAGAGATCAGCCCAGGAAAAACCCAAATGTTGGGGAGGTTTGAAAGCTGTCTCTTGAAAGAGTCTCCTGGTGCCTGTGATTTCAGCTGTGCTTTGCTCTTCTCTGACCTTATTCTCATTTGGAGCCCATCATTAGCTGGTGACAGGATTTTGTAATTAAAAATTGTGATCATAATTAACGTGCGTTCTAGATTAGGGCTTTCCTTTTATTTTTTAAAATTTCTGTCCACGTTCAGCCAATTCAGCTGAAAAGGACACGTGGCTCCCTCCCAGAGTTTGAACTTTTAGCTGTGGAGCTGCCCTAACACAGAGCCACCCAGCTCACTGGTGATTTGTTTGTGCTTCCATGGATACAAGTGAGGGCAAAATTTGGTTTGCTAATTTCCAAAGGCCTTCACACACACAGTGCTGATGGTTCCCCTCCAGCAATACCTGGTTTCAGGCCAGATTATTAATTTCTTCCTTATATCAGCAAGCAGATCCTCATGTGCTACTCGCATAAAAGGAAACAAAGTCTTTTCTGGTGTGTATATACTTTCCAGCATCAGGAATATTCTGCAGTCTGGACCTGGATGAGGGGTCTGATGGAGACCTAAACTGTTTGACCTTGGCTTGATTCCTCTGAAGTCTAGAGAAAGCATGAGTGGAGTGAAGAGGAAATTGGCTGCCTTATCTTTATTTCGGTTGTGCAAATTTTTAAAATGGAATCCAGCACAGTGCATTTGTTTATGGTCATGTGCTCCTTCAAAAAATGGATGGAGCAACAGATGCCCAAATGTTCTGCAGTTATCCTCAAAGGAATATTCTGTACTGTTCACTTAATACTAAGTTATTAAGTAACATAAAATCAAGAATAATTGGAAAAAAAAAGCTAAAAATCAACCTAATTTGCCATTAAACATCTCTGACATAGACAATGTTCCCAAAGGACCCAAGTGTCACTTCCTGACAAATGTCAGGGCTGGGAGAATCTTACACAGAATTTGGGAAGAGACAAATCTCAATTCCTGTCATTATGACCTAGGAATGATTTTGGTGCTGTCATTATTTCTTACCATGTTGCTCCCATCTTATTGTAACCCACTTATTTACTCATCCATATGCCAGAAGGTGAATATGGACCAAAAGGGTTATTTTAGGAGGTGACAGGAAGTCTGAACTTTGCATTAGTGAAATCTTGGCTAAAAATTCTTAGTCTCAGCCTTAGCTAAGAAACTATCCAGTTTTTAAAAAAACTGAAGCTTTGTTGGCTTTGCTAATTTTTATTTGGGGGGTGTGGGGTTGATTACAATTCTTGTTGCACAGCAATACTTTCACTATAAATTTTTATGTGTATTCACACACAAAAATAACCTTCTCTCTCTCTCTCTTTGTATACGTACATTCTGTGCGTGGATTACCCACAGCTGTTTTTATGCATTATGGATTAGAAAACTCTCTCTAGGCAGATCAGGTGGCAATTCCTCCCCTTTGAGCAGTTTTCTCTAAGAAACTGCTGAGCTGAGTTTTCCCATCTCTGTTGGGAGGGTGTCCCATCCCAGAGACACATCAGGGTGTGCCTTGTCCCAGGGACGTTTCTGAGGTCACTGGAGCATGAGATGGGCCCCCCTGGAGCACAGAACATGCTCCCAGAGGTGTGATAAATTCATAAAATCATCCTGCAGCGAGTGCCCAGGTCAGGCTCTGCAAACAGCTACAAACACTGTCAGCTGCCCTCTTTGTGAGGGTCTCCTCTCCTTTCCTTCCCCAAGCTGTGCCTCAAATTGGGAGGATTAAGAGGGCAGCAAGTCTGGTTGTTAGGGCAGAGGGAGAGGTTTCAAGGGGAGTTTTCAGCAGTGTGTACACACAGGGGTAGAGCTATTCCTGCCCCAAACGAGTGGGTGCAAATGGAAGACATGACAGAGGGTGTTCATATCACCTAATTTTCAGTCCCTAATTTAGAAGTCTGATCTTCCTGCACACCTCTGTTGCTTTCTAGTGGAAAGCAGTGAGCCTCTTCAGAGAGAATTTCAGAGGAGGGACCACACTCAGAACTCATGTGATGCCTGTGGGAGCTGCTGTCTCTGCCTTCCAGCTGCAGAGGAGCTCTCAAGAGCAGTCTTTTATCTTCAACACCTCTGTCATGGGCATGAAGTTGTTCATCCTTTCTGTCTCTGCTGTTTCTTCTCTGCATTCTATTTATTTGAGTTAATGAGGTTTTTTTTCCTATTTTCTTCTGTGGACACCATCTTTGAACCATGTTCTCCAGGCATCACATTGAGGAGGTGGCTCCCCATCCCTCAAAGACAAAAAACTCACATGCAAGTGAGGTTTCTTTATACCTCTCCAGGAAAGCAGCGATAATTGATAAATTCTCAAGCGCAGTTTGGGCTATGCAGCTTGAAATCTCTCTGATCACTCAAGTGAAGAAAAACACCAATACCAGAAGCAAAGGAGCTGATCTTGGGACGAGCATGGCCATAAATTCAGAGGTTTCCATCGCAGGGAGTTCTAACTGTCCCCGTTCTCTGCCCGCAGAGGCCATCGCGGCCGAGTCAGCAAACACCAACCTGCTCCCCAACGGTGTCAACTCCCTGTGCTCCATCTGTGGGGACAGGGCCACGGGCAAGCACTATGGGGCCTCCAGCTGCGACGGCTGCAAAGGCTTCTTCAGGAGGAGCGTCCGCAAGAACCACGTCTACTCCTGCAGGTACCGAATTTCGGCAATTAACAAATGCGATTTATCAGGGAAATGGTTTGGGGTGGGGGTCAGGGAGTCTCAAATGCCAATTTGCCACGCCGTGGAGGCCACCAGTAGGACTGCAGTTTGGTTTACAAGGAGTAAACTTAGTCTTATCTTTAAACTCAGTCCTATCTCATTTGAACCCTGAGACCTTCTGTGGCACCGAGTGATGCATTGAGTGAATTTGCCATCACTGCTTTCCCCACAGGGTAAATTGAGGGAAAATCATAGACCTGAGAATCACAGAATGGAATAGGTTGGAAAAGACCTTTAAGAATCTCAAGTCCAACCCCAAAACTTGAGGTTTGACTGATGTGTAAAATACATAAATACAGACACTGGGTGTGGAGTGACACCATGACCTCGTCACAGCCCAGCACGGGGAAGCCAAGGTGGCAAAGGACCAAAGCTCCAGAGATTTCATCTTTCTTGCTTTTCCTGGTAAAAACAACAGGCATCCAAGAATCTGTCATCTCCAAAGCCCTCTCACAGCTTCTCCATTTTTGTTTTGAAGTACAATAAATTATGTACACTGACTTATCAGTGATGATTTTATGAATATTCTGAGAAATATGTGTGGACCAGAGATGATTCACATCCACTTTGGCACGCAGGTATACATTGGAGAGAGATTTTTGCCAGGAGGAGGCTATAAATTATAAAGCTGCTATCTTGATTGACCTTAGAAAAATGATATTTATTTTAGCACAGGAGAAAGTGGAAAGAAATCCCAAACATCAATACACTTAAGCCTTTCATGTCTAGTTAAAACCTGGAAGTTTTCTTTCTGTTCCAAAGCTTTTCCTCCTCTAAGGACATTCCAAATTTTTCCAATGAGAGTCGCCCTACTTGTTCAAAATGTTCCTGGTGCCCTTATCACTCCAGGACACACCAGCCATGAAGGACACCTGAGGTGACAGCAGTGTCCCCCTGCACAGTGCCCATCCCATGAACTGTGGGATTCCTGCAGGAGGAGATGAGCTCTATAATGGTTTATTTGAAATTTCAGCTGTCAGTCTCCTGGGAGCGGAGCTGTTGCCTCTCCCCAGGAATCCATGAATCTCTGTGATATTTGGCAGCTCAGGGAAGATCCACAGCATGGAAGCCAAGCTTGTGTGCAAGCCCTTATTTGGTGAGCTCAGCCCAGCTCAGAGCTCTGCTTATGGCAGACGTGAATTCCTCTGAAAGCTTTTGGGCCTTGTACCTTTGGCTTTTTACCAGTCTGGGAAAGTGCCTCAGCTTTCACAACCTGATGGTCCCGGAGCAACCCAAATCTCCTCTCCGTGTGGAAGATTCCCCGTCCACTGTTTTGCCATCCATGGGGAGAGCTGCCAAGCCTGTGTGGGCCACCCCTGGCACAGCACAAAGGTTCCTAAATCCCCATGGAAAGGAGGAGGAATTAGGAGGCCATGGGTCTCAGAACAAGGCCGCAGACTCAATGGGCTTGTGGCCCATAACGCATTTTATTCTACGCAAAACGCAGAATAGTTAACAAGTGAAATCAGACAAACCCCAGTGCCAAACACCCAAAAACTGTCTGGAAGTGGGAGATGGAGCTCCTACAAAAGCACAGCTTGGGTCACAGTCATGTTTTCATGGCCAAAACCATCCCAATCCCTGCAGGGTGGGTGGTCTGCAGCCGCTGCGCTCCCAGCTGGAAGGAGCGGCGGTGGGGAAGAGGAGGAGCTGGGCCAAGCCAACCTTGATTCAATCCATTTCTGGCAAACCTTTGACTCTTCTCGAGGATCATGCAGTGTGGAGCTCGGGGAGGTCTGGGGCTGTTCAGTGTCACAGATGGTTGCTCCACGTTGTATTTCCCATCTCCTCCCAGGTTCAACCGACAGTGTGTGATAGACAAAGACAAGAGGAACCAGTGCAGGTACTGCAGGCTGAAGAAATGCTTCAGAGCTGGCATGAAGAAAGAAGGTGGGTGCAAAGAGACATTTCCAGCCTTCCTGCTGCTGTCCTAGGACCTGTTCCACTGCAAAGCATGGTGGGGAGCAGCAGCAGCACTGGCTGGAGAGATGATGATTGCGTGTCACAGAGAGATATTTTTGTTGCAGCTGTTTGCCATTTTATCTCAATTTCAGTGAGAGCATGGTGACATTATTTAGGATCATGCAGTGTGGAGCTTGGGGAGGTCTGGGGCTGTATTTGGGGCTGCTCAGGGTCACAGATGGTTGCTCCACGTATTTCCCATCTCCTCCCAGGTTCAACCGACAGTGTGTGATAGACAAAGACAAGAGGAACCAGTGCAGGTACTGCAGGCTGAAGAAGTGCTTCAGAGCTGGCATGAAGAAAGAAGGTGGGTGCAAAGAGACATTTCCAGCCTTCCTGCTGCTGTCCTAGGACCTGTTCCACTGCAAAGCATGGTGGGGAGCAGCAGCAGCACTGGCTGGAGAGATGATGATTGCGTGTCACAGAGAGATATTTTTGTTGCAGCTGTTTGCCATTTTATCTCAATTTCAGTGAGAGCACGGTGACATTATTCACCCATCCTGTGAGGCTGGTCTTTTAGTTCTGGGAAAAGGATGGGCTTCCTCAGGGCTTATTTGGTCCCTAAGTGCTTTACAATAGCAATTTCCTCTCTCCATACCCACTGGTGTGGCTCCTAATCCCACCTGTGCCAATCTCAGCGAGGATCTGCCACCTCCAATCTCATAAATGCCATCAGTTTGCTGCTTCAGGTGGTGTGGTTGGCTCAGCTGATGCCCACGTAGCTGCACGCAAGGGCAAGGTACAGCCTGAGCACAGAGCCTTAAGGAGTGGGAGCCTCTCCATGGCACAGGGCACACGGGCAGAGCTCCAGGAGCAGGGTGACTCATGTGTCCCCCACAGCTGACTCATGTACCCCAGCAGGGGACATGACTCAGAGCAAAACCCTTAGGTCGTGCTGCTGGTGACAGGGTGACTGTGGAGCCAGCACCAACACTGAAGGGCCAATCCCACACTGGCCAAGGCTTTTTGTTGCACTTCCCATCATCTGCATTGAGGGGGTGCAGAGTTGTAGGTTTGGGTGCCAGTGACCATCAGGATGTGCCCTTTCCAAAGGAAATGCTGTCATAGTGCCTAATGCTCTGCAAGGAAAACCCATTTCTGTCAACCTGTGCCTACATGCAGCTTCCCTGGGAAATTCTGAGATCTACCACAGCACTTCTGACCTCTGCTTGTCCAGTTCTGCACATTGGGAGAGCGTGGATGATCCTGTTTTATTGTGATTGTCCTTGTCCACTGAGTGCCTGACAAAGTGGGGGCCCAACCCACCCAAGGTGCAGGTTGTTGGGTGATGGTTTCACACTCTTCACCCTTTGTGCTGTTTCGCACTCTTCACCCTTCATTTGTGCTGTTTCCCAACCCACTGGCAGCTAAAAGATGAGGGAGGTAGAAAGGAGCTTGGAAGTTTCTTTCCATGTCACCAAGTTCACCCAAGGGGTGGAATTGTGGTCCCACTGAACCCAAGGGGAAATTTGCCGTTGATTTCTTGTAATTCATAAGATTTTACTGGTGATTAAATGATCTTTCCCATGTTCTGACCATATGTTTTCCTGGAGAAGAAGGGTGTTTTGAAACCATGGATGAAGTAAAAATGCCAACTGGTTTAATTTAGGAGAAATGGAGTAAATACAGCAGATGGAAAAACAAATAGTCCTCAAATTAATGAAGACAAAATTGAAGCTGATTTGGTCAGTTCTAGATGGGATCAAGCCAACTGCCAATGCAGCAAACTGCACTGCTTGGACAGGCTGAAATCATCTTATCAGATCTATTCTTTGAGCTGAAGCATGATTTTTATTGGTTTTTATGGTAAAAGTTATAAAACCTTGGCTCATGCCTCCATCACTGAGTGCAGCTTGATGGGAGATGACTCATTTCAGGTTCCACATCGTCACATTCCTTGAAACTTTTTTATGAGTGCAGTCAGGTTGTGTGCTCGGAAAATGCTCCTGTGTTTGGCAAGGAAGATTTTAAAGCACCTTGAGCAACTGCTGTGCAGAAATTAGCTTAGCTGACCAGAGCTCTATCCCGAGCACATGTGCAGGACTGGGAAAGAAAAATTCTTGCACAACTGTGTGCACAAAAAGAACACAGCTATTTGCTTTTGGGTGGTTCTAGATTAATATTAAACAGTATTGCGAAGCGTTAGGGAGGAGGAGAAGCCATGTCTTGGATGGGGCACTACTGGAGTGTCCAAATATTTGTACAAAACCTTTTGGAGCGTGCAGGGGTTGGTGCTGGGAGGTGGCAGTGGTGACATCCACACTCCACATCCGTGCTCTGCTTCCCAGCACTGGCACAACCCTCTTTCCCTGGCACATTCCTTCAGGGCCAGCCCTTATAACGGCAGTCAGAGTTTCCAGGGTGTGGCAATAGCATTGTTTATCCACGGCAGAAGGGAAGGAGCTGGAAGCGATCCTTTTCCCAGGCTGGCTGTGACAATACACCTGGGGTGGGGTCAGCGGGGCTGTGTCACCCTCGCCATGCCCCACTGACCCACTGCTCGGTGTCTGTGTGCTCAGCCTCGGAGAACTTGCTGTTCCCTGGCAAAGCTAACTGATAAACGGGAATTTTGGATCCAGAGGGATTGGGTTTTGTTGTTTTTTAGTTTTTTGTTTGTTTTTTTTTTTTTTTTCCCTTTTGGAAACTTTTCTAGCGAATAAGGAATCACAAGGAGCTGTGCAGCCGGGTAGAAAGGAAATTTCTCCCTGAAGAAAAAAACATATAATACAAATACCTGAGCTACACAGTGACCAGATCTGCCTGAGGTTGCAAGATTTAAACTGTGTCAGGGGAGGTTTAGGTTGAATATTAGGAAAAGGTTCTTCTCCCAGAGGGTGGTGGGGCACTGAACAGGCTCCCCAGGGAATGGTTGAGAAAATTACCTGTTGATCTTTAGATTGCTTTGTCTGTCCAGCCTGAATTCAATCCTATTTTCAAGAAGGACCAACACTGGCCTCCACAAGAGGTTTGTGAATTGGCATGAGATCCAGGTTCCATCAGCACTAATGAGAGCAGGGAAGGGACAAAACTTGAGTCTTGTGGAAAGTCCAGTTCCCAGATTTCCTAGAAAATAGCTCACTCAGAACTATCCCAATTGCATTTTTGGTATCAACAATTCACTTTAATAACAACCATTAAGGTTAGGATGAGGGGAGGGGGAAATCCTTGTCTGAACAAAAAAACCCTTTTATGTCCTGAGCACCTTTTGTGATCAGGATCTAAGATTTTTACAGGAGAGTCACTCCTTGATTCTTGTGTTGGGGTTAGGGCTGGGGCTGTGCCAGAGAGTGCTCTGGATATTTTGGGGATTTTCTGGCTGTTCCCCCTGAGTTCCTCTGTCCTCAGAAGGTTCAATTTCTATTGTCTTGCACAATGCTACCAGACAGGTTTTTGGCCACTGCAGCATCAGTGGCTGAGTAGAACACCAGGTACTCAAACACCCAGAGAAAACAGGGGGATTCTATTTTTAGCACCTCCCTGAGATCATGTTTAACCTGGAATAAATCAGCAGGGTGTGATTCCTCAAGTGAGCCAGGTCATCTCCTCACATGGAGCTGAGTGCCTGAAAACCTGGAAGCCTTTTGAAAGGCCAGCACTGCACTGTCAGGACTCAGCTTGCTGGTGGGGGGAAAAATTGAGGGGTTAATATTTAACCTCTCATCCCCTTCAAAGTAATTTATGAATGTGAATGAACTTCTTTAGTTTTATGCAGAAGTAAAAAGAATTGTTATATCACTCACTGCTGCAACAGTAAGGAGGAGGGAGGGTTTGAGGGTTTCTCTTTATTATTGTGAAATTGGACAGGTTTATAGGACAGTTTTATTAGTGCTTCACAGGGCCTCTATCTTGTTTCATACCTTTTGTTTGCACATTTCTTTGCCAGCTTTCAGAATGCTGGGACTGCAGTTTATTGCAGAGAATGATGGAAAAGATAAAGGATCTTCTCTGCCTTCAGTAGTCATAAATCAGCCCACAAGCCCATGAAAGGATTAAATGTACATGTACCATTGGGATTTATTTGCAAATAAAACACACCACACCTACAAAATCTGAGGTAGCTCAGGAAAAAAAAAAAAAAAGATTATTTGTGGATATAAATTAATCAGGCAGCAGGAGGAGTAAATCTGTCGGTGAACACAGAAACACTGTGAGCACTGGTGAGTGCACCACGCAGGGACTGCCCCCCTCCTGCTCCCTCTGTGCCATTTATCACTGCATTTCCAACCCCACCAGCAGTAACTGAGGCTGGTTTTAGTGGAATAATGATGGAAACAGTAATTCCTGTGTAGGCAAAGCTGGAACTTCCTCACTTGCTGTGGAAAGTTACTGGTTTGCTGCTCTCCCAGCGCCTGTGCCCCCATTTACTGGGCTCCCTGGAGGTTCCTCATCCTGCATGGCAAGCAGTGAGGACAAACAGTTTGGGAAGCAGGGGCTTGTTGCAATCCCACAAACCCTGCTTGCCCAGAGTGTCCAGCCTTGCTCTGGGTGACAAAACCCCTCCGAGGGCTCCCCTGCGTCACAGGGAGGAGATGTTTGTTTTCCCATCCTCTTCCCACAGCCAGGACAAGTCCCTGGAGGGAGACACGAGCATCCTTCTGCCCTCTCTCCCCTTTCCCTGTGGGAAAGCCCAGCCTGGGGCCACGCTGTCCCTGGCCAGCACCATCCTGGGGACTCGTGTCCCTTCTTGCAGGGCTGGGTGGCTTTTTGTGGTGTTTTCTGGCTTTGGGAATGTGCAGAGAAGGGTAAAAAAAAACAGGGAGCGAAGATTCTGCCAGGCACTTCTGGAAATAGCAGCCCTTTGGGAGACAGAGGGATTCAGCAGTGGGTTTTTAGTCCTTCCTGCAGGTTTGTTGAGTTTTATTGACAGCAAAGCCAAGATGACACCTGAGCCCAGCACCCCCAGGGCCAGCACGTCCCTCGAGCACTCCCACTGCCTCACCAGGAGTGACCTGTCCCTTCCCTTCCACAAACACAATAAATACAGCAATATAATCACTGCACAGTAATAGATTAATTTTTGTGGCAGGTGAAACATTAACTCCCCTTTGTATCTAATTCCATCACATCTCGGGTGCTTTCAGCGATAACACCCAAATCACCTTGAGAAAGTCACTCTGTACCATCCACTTGCACTGGAAGATTGAGCTTATCAGAGCATGAGGGAAGCACTGAAATATGTGCCATAAAAAGGCTGGGGGGAAAAACAGGTTGAGGCTTCTTAAAGGAGTCTGTCATAGGGTCCAGGTCTGCCTGGCACTGGAGGATTTACATAAAATCAGATGTGTAACTCGATTGGAAAGGCAAAACCTGTCCCTTTGCTTGTAAGTAGGCAGAGATGCCCGCCCTGAGAGCATGTGGGGGAGCATCTGATACAAACCCAGGTGTAGAAGCTTGGATGGGGATTTTACAAAATAGCCAGTGATGACACAGATGGGGTCAGGCTTGTTTCCCCTGAGATGCTGCCACTCACCTTTCTGGTGGACCAGTAAAACCCTACAAAGTGCCAAGATTATGGTTCCTATAACCACCTTCACCTTCAGGCTCAGGGCAACTTATGCTGCTGTCTGAGGAGGGTTAGCAGAGGCTCCCAAAAGCTGTGCTGCTTTTTCTCTAAATTGATGACAAATTGCCTCTCTGCAGTGGCCCCAGCCTGAAAATGCTCCAGGGATGTGTTTGTGTGTGGCACCTTTCAGAAATGGATGCAGCCCCTTGCAGGCAAGGCTGGCTCTGAGGCACAAAGTCAGATCCCCACAGGCTGATCCTGACTGACAGCAAGGCTGAGCCCCAGATCTTGGAAAATAAGCCCTGCACTCCTGTTGATAAGGGGAGGCATTGATTTTTGTCACTGGTGCTTGTTTTCTGCCCTTTTGCTTTGTTGGCCCCTCATCAGAGGCAGGTTAGGAAAACAGAGCAGTGGTTGGACATGAGCAGGCAGCAAAAAACACCTTCCCTTAAACTGTGCAAAGCACTGCCCACGTTTTTCCTTCCTATGGATTCCCAGGAATGAGTCCTGATGCTCTAAAACAAGACCCAGCAGCAAGGCAGAGACTCAAAAGAATCATGGCAAAATAACTCTTCAGATTCTGCAGAAAGGGGAAAAAAATTGCAAAAATCTTCCCAAAAGTGGCCACTTTTGAGACAAACCCCCAGTGTTCTGCACCCAAGGGGTTAAAGCGCAGAGTGAGTCGTGCTTTGGCAGCTCTGTTTGAGTCATTTCTCCCCAAAAAAGTGAAAGGAATCTGGGACTGCTGTGTGAAGGAGGAGGGATGTGCTGCCCTGTCACCACATGAACCTTCCTGCTCCCTCTGCCTCAGGGACATGGCAAGTGCCTTTTGAGCTGTTTGTGGCCAAGGTCTGTGAGCTGCCAGGAAAACACTGAGTGTGTTCAGGCTCCTTCCCCCAGCCCCGAGCTGCTGGACAGAGGCAAGAGGGGCTGGGGGAGAAACCAGCACTGAAACCAGCTTGGGTTAAATCAAAATTTTCTTTTTTTCTCTGCTGCTGTTTCACTCCATGGCTGCAGTGGAGGTGAGTCAGCTCTCAGAAACTGCTGCAAAAATGAGCTGCTGAAGTGCAATCCATGCCTGCTGTTCCCTGGGCTGATGGAGCATGAGGCTGGCTGTGGCTCGTGCTTCAGGGGGAAGGATGGTTTAAAGGGTGGAATGGGCCTCAAAAATCAGTGGGGGTTTTTCCAATTCATCATGGCATGTCCAGCAAAGGGTCTGGGCTGATCTTCACTCCTCTGTGGTCCCTGCAGTGTGTCCAAGGTCTGTGGTGTTGCTGTTCCAGGACTCTGAGCTGGTTTCCAGCAGGGATTTGCAGCAGCAGGGCTGGTGACAAACCCTGGCTTGGTGCTGTCCTCATGTGTCACTGCTGTTGGGGATTCAGGCTGGCTGAAACCAACTGTGTGATGGGCAACACTGAGGGAATGGTTTAAAGGGGGATTTAAACTTCCTTTTCTTTGAGCTTCCTTCATGGAGTGACTCTTTCTGTGCCCCAGGAGTGGGGCTGTCCCCTGGGGTCACCACCTCAGGGGTAGGGGACACTCCAGGGCTGCTCTGAGGTGGCATCAGGGGATGTTTTTCCAGCCCTGCCATGAGCAGGTGCAGCCCCAGGAGCACCCTGCTGTAGCAGGAGCCCAGCACAGGAGCCCTCAGTGCAGCCACGGCACAAAGGGTCCCAAAGGCTCCAGCACTGCCAGGTGGAGAGAGGTGACACCAAACCCCCAAATTCCCCGAGCTGCGTCAAATCCAGCAGGACCAGCAAACACCCCGTGGGTGTTGCTCTGACCCCCACATGGCCTCATCCCCCTCTCGTGCTTGGCCTTGTCCCTCTGAAATGGCCCTTTTCCCTCTCCAGAGCCTGTTTATTCCAAATCCAACCACAGTGGAGGGTCCTGCAGGAGCAAAGCCCCAAACACTCCTGTTTAGGGACCACAAGGAGCAGAGCCACTGCCTGGGGGGATTTCTCACTGCCACAAGCACTGGGAGTGTTGCACTGACAGAACCACTGGGATTTTCTCACTGCCACAAGCACTGGGAGTTTCTCCCTGCCACAAGCACTGGGATTTTCACTGCCACAAGCACTGGGATTTTCTCACTGGCACAAGCATTGGGATTTTCTCACTGATACAACCATTGGGATTTTCTCACTGCCACAAGCACTGGGAGGGTCTCACTGCCACAAGCACTGGGGGTTTCTCACTGCCACAAGCACTGGGATTTTCTCACTGACACAAGCATTGGGATTTTCTCACACACACATTGGGATTTTCTCACTGACAGAACCATTGGGATTTTCTCACTGCCACAAGCACTGGGAATGTCTCAGTGACAGAACCATTGGAATTTTCTCACTCACACAAGCACTGGGATTTTCACTGGCACGAGCACTGAGAGTGTCTCACTGCCACAAGCACTGGGAGTGTCTCACTGCCGCAAGCACTGGGGGTTTCTCACTGCCACAAGCACTGGGATTTTCTCACTGGCACAACCATTGGAATTTTCTCACTGCCACAAGCACTGGGAGTTTCTCCCTGCCACAAGCACTGGGATTTTCACTGCCACAAGCACTGGGATTTTCACTGCCACAAGCACTGGGGGTTTCTCACTGCCACAAGCCCCTCTCTCTCTCCTCTCAGCCGTGCAGAACGAGCGTGACAGGATCAGCATCCGCAGGAGCAGCTATGAGGACAATGGCTCTCTCTCCATCAACATCCTCACTCAGGCTGAGGCCATGGCACAGCAGGTAGGACACCTGGGCACAGCCCCTCCAAACGGGTCCATGGCCCTCAGCAATCCCAGCCCACCAAACCAGCCAGGGTTTTTTCTGCCCTTGGATGGCTCCTGCACAAACCCACAGGGAAGAAAATGCAAAATATCCAAAAGCAGACAGGAAAAAAATCCATTATCAAGGCCATACATGCTGCAGGCAGCAGATGCACCTTTGGTGGGAGGTAGAAAGCTGAAATTCCAAGGGCTGAGGGATATTGCAGAGCTCAGGTCCCCTCTTCCCCCAGCCTAAATTGTTGCTGCACCCCTACAATCTCACTGCATTCACACAGAATTTTATCCTTCCTCACTGCACTCTGTCCTGCTCTGAACATAATATTCCAGTCATGGTTGATTGTATCTCTCCTCATAACTTCTTTATCGGGGCAGAAAAATAATGTGAGTAAATCCACTGGCCTTCAGCGACGCTGATTGCTCTTTTATTTCATGCTCCACCATTAACTTCACCCTGAGCGTCCTTTAAATTCTTATGCAAATACCCTTTCCCCACTGAAACACACGGCCCAGATGTTGCACATTACATGCAGCAATGAGCCCACTTCCTTTCAAAAATCATTGGTTTTAACCCTCTCCCTGCCAGGCAGCCCTGTAGAGATCCAAAAGGATTTTGTCCCACCTTGGGGGAGAAAAGCTGGATGCATTTTGTCATTTGCCTGGCAGGAGGGATTGCTGGGAAGCTGAGACACGGTGCTGCTGGCTGCTGCTAGGGATGGGAATGTTGATTTTTGTCCTGGAGAGCAGGGAGGGAGGCTGAGGAGGGCTGGGTGTGTGTTGGGACTGAGCACCACCTCGTGGAAGCTGCTCCGTGGGCTGAGAGTCGGACACAGCTGAGCACAGAGTGTCCAACCACATCGGGAACATCTCCTCAGGGACGAGTCCTTGCTGTGGAGGGTGACAAAACAGCGCTGATCTGGTGCAGACACAGCCAAAACTGCTTTCTCTTTCAGTATTTATCCCTGAGCCCCGTGCACAGCACAGACATTGCCATGAAGAAGATTGCCACCATCAACGACGTGTGTGAATCCATGAAACAGCAGCTCCTGGTGCTGGTGGAATGGGCAAAATACATCCCAGCCTTTTGTGAGCTCCCCCTGGACGACCAGGTAAAACCCAAAGGGCCTTCCCGGGAAATCCAGTGCCTTTGGAAGGAATTCCCAGCTGGGCTTTCACGGGAGGATCTGGCATTAACATACAGATCACCCTATGCAGAGTACAAACAGAAGAGAAAGAGGGACCAGTTAAAAATAACTTCAGTAGCCAAAGTCCCTCAAAATATAGATTTGGTCAGTCCAACCTGCATTAACATACAGATCGCCCTATGCAGAGAGAGAAAGAGGGGCCAGTTAAAATAACTTCAGTAGCCAAAGTCCCTCAAAATATAGATTTGGTCAGTCCAACCTGCAAAAGATCCAGTCAAAAAATTCTGATTGTGTCAGGCTACTGCAGTTCTGAATTACAAGGCAGTTCTGATTTTGCCTTTGCTGGTACTTAATAATTGAATATAGAATCCGATTATTTCATAAGAACTCAAATTACTCAAGGGCCTCTTTGCTCTTTTAGTCAAAAACAGTTTCTCGTTTAGTTTGCCACGAATGTAGCACTTCTCAAAGTGAACATACACTGATATTTTCTAGCCCTGAACAGAACTTTATCTGTAGATCTGCCAGACCTAAGCAAACACCAAATGGGGCTTAATTAAACAGCAACAGCACAGCACTCCATCCTCTGCTTTTCCAATAAATCTTATTTCTGTCTCCTGTGCCACCTCCAGGTTGCCTTGCTCAGAGCCCACGCAGGGGAACATCTGCTCCTCGGGGTGGCCAAGAGGTCCATACCATACACTGACTTCCTGCTGCTAGGTAAAGTCGTGAAACACACTCCTGCTTTTATAATTCAGTCATTTTCTGCATCCCTGAGATCCCCTCTGCACTCCTGGGCGTGGGCTGCACATCTGGGTGGAGACACAGTGCTGGAGTAAAAAGGAACAAGTAAATTCACTGGGTTTTTTTTTTTTTAACTGTTCCCTCACTGCTTTGAAATTGTGGATGAGAAAGCCCCAGGATTTAAATGGCATCTCAAATTGGGTTGTCTTGGTTTTGTATCTGAAATTGCCAAGGCCCAAGCAATGAGGTATTTGGGTATAGATACTTAAAAACTGATCAGAAATGGCTATTAAAAATTACAGTGCAAATAGGTGTTTCCTTTTATAGGAAAAGGAAAATTATTTATTTTTCAATTTATTTATTATTTTATAGGAAAATAGGTGTTTTCCACCACAGGTGGGATTGTTCTCAGAAAAATGAGAATACTGACCTAAAAGCTTCTCATTAAAGAAAAGAGAGAGGGATAACTTTGTGTGAGAAAAGAAAACCAAAAATAGAGATGCAGCCCTGCTTACAAACAGATGCTCAGTGTAACACAGGGCAAAGCAGAGAAGAACATGGAGCAGGCTGTGTGCACAGTGTGGGTGCACTGACGTGCAGCTGAGATAAATGAGGAGCAGGGGATGAGATCTGGGCTTGCTTTTCTCTCGTGGATCAGATTATAAAGCTGCAGACTGGAAATTGCAAATGGCACTGGGACTATCAGGAAACCCTCTTCTGGGAACTGTGATTGTGTTCAACTGTCCCAGGATGAGGGAAGAGATGAGAATCTTGACTCCATGTTTCAGAAGGCTGATTTATTATATTATTATATTATATTATATTAAAATGCTATACTAAAACTATACTAATAAGAATAGAGAGAAAGGATCCATCAGAAAGCTAGAAAGGAGTGGAATGAATAACAAAAACCCATGACTCTCAGAGAGTCCACACAGCTGGACCACGGTTGGTCATTAAGCAGAAACAATCTGCATGGACCAATCAAAGATGCCCCTGTTGGTAAACAACTTCCAGCCATCACAGCCATCAGACAGTTATTGTTTACATTTCTTTTCTGAGGCTTCTCAGCTAGAATAGGAGAAAAATCCTAGCAAAGGATTTTCATAAAACATCACAGTGACAGGGAACTGCTGGATGAGACCAGGGCTAGAGACAAAACTTGATGGGGAATTCCTCTTGTCTTTTTAGGAAATGATTTCATCATCCCAATGCACTGCCCAGAGCTGGAAATCGCTCGTGTGGCCACCAGAATCTTGGACGAGCTGGTGAAGCCCCTGCGGGACATCCAGATCGATGACAACGAGTACGCCTGCCTGAAAGCCATCATCTTCTTTGACCCAGGTGAGATTCCCTCTGGCTGCCAAGCACAGGGCTGGCACAGCAGCTGGGGCTCTCCAAACTCCAGGAAAACCCCTTGGAAGCAGCTCTACATCTCGTGCTGTAATGAGGAGCACTCAGTGGTGCAGTTTTAAGGCAGAAGTGACCGGTTCCTGAGTGTGAACTCCAGCCAGGCTGATGTGCAAGGCTCTGCAGGCCCTGGAGGAGTTTGGCTGCTGCAGGAGCTTGGCTTTGGGAAAGCCCATCAGCCTGAAATGCAGGAGATGATCATTAAGGACATACATGCCTGTATTAATTATGTATGAGCAAAGAGAGCCAAACAAGCAGCAATGTGGAGCGTCCATAAGAGTCCAGAGAGCACCATCAGAAACCACAGAGAGCTGGGCAGCTCACAGTGCCCAGAAACATCAGGGATCTGCTAATGGGTCTTGCTGGAAGCCAGCAGCAACCCAGGGCAGGGCTGGTCCACAGCATGGAGAACAGGGAAATACAGAGAAAAACCAATTTGTTTTGAAGCTTTATTCCAGAAGCACAGGGGTTCTGCCTTGGCCAGGGTTCCAGTGGGTATCTCTGGAGCTCAGGGAGGAGATGGGAGAACAATCCCAAGTCCAGACAATGCCCTTTTGTCTTTTAGCATGAGAAATCAGAGTGTCATCCATTAATTATTGGGTTTTTTGCTGTATTCACTGATTCAAAATCAAGATCCAGGTGTTTCAGGAGCGTCATGGATTTTGGCTCACCAAAGCCTGCTGTGAACATAGGAAGGGTGCTTTCATCCGATTGATTTTGACAAATTACCTTCTCAGCTGATCAGTGTCTCCATGCAGGGTTAGATCAATGTGACAATGAGGTGCTGAGGTTTCAGCTGGAAGGAGGGAGCGTGAAGTTCATCCATGCTAACGAGCAGGAATGTCCTCAGAGCTCCGTGCTGACACACAATCATTTGTTAACCACTTTATCTAATCTCTTGGCACTACATTCCCCAAAATGTGGTGCCTGTGGATTCTTTGCAGACAGTGAAGGAAATGATGCAGTGATGCAGAAATCTCAGGTTTAGATAAGAGCAGAGGCAGGAGTGGAAGGCTGTAAATGCCAGCACTTCACCCGATCCAGGGACAAATTTATTTGCTTAAGGAAAGCTGGACCAGTGGTCCCTGAAAAAAACCATTGACCACAGGTCAAAGACAGGAGAGCAAAACAAGAACCTGATGCTGCAGCAAGTGTAATCACAACATACAGGCACTAAAACTCCTTGCATTTAGTGGTGGCAGTTGTGACTCAAAGTTTTCAGGGGAAAATTCCAGGCTGTTTCCTTGGAAGGATAAATATTTTAACTTCTAAATGTTTCCCCTTTGCTAATGGCAGTAGGCAGACACATCCATGTGAAGCAAGCTCCTATTTTCTTACTTATTTTCTCTCCTATTTTCTGACAGTTTCCCTTCAAAGTCTCCTCCAATTACTGTTTCCCCTCCATTCCACTCACAATTTCCCTGTTCCATATGAGATGTGAAGCAATGGCAGCCCAGCCTGCCAGCTGATCTTGGAGACCCTCTCAGAGCATCACTGCCATCTCATCCTTTTCCCTGCACACAGCCCCCCTGTGAGAAATGCTACTCACTTCCAAAAACTTAGAAAGGTTTATTAAAACCTTATCAAAAATACAACAGAAGATAGATAGATTTTTCTCTATTCAATTGAATAGAGGAAATATTACAGTGCCAGGAGCAGAGGATTTTCCCCATCATGTGTTCACCCACACATGGAGGTTTTGCCTTTTAACCCTTTAGCCGCTCCCAAAGTTCTGTCCATCGACTCCTTCATTGTCCAGTGGTGGAGATCACTGCCTTAAATCCTGATTGGAGATCAGCTGTTACCATAGTGACAAGCCCTCCCAAATGTCCCAAACCCAGGCCACCCCTGATAACAACACAAGGGGGTAAAACATAACTATAAACCTATAAAACTTAACAGATATACATGATATTTGCCCTTTTAATTGTGAGAGCCAACCATGGCGTTACTCACCTACCCCACTGCCTGACAGGCCAAAACCTGCCTGCACAGGCCTCCAATTAACCCCATTTCCCTCTGTCCCAGACTGCAAAGGGCTGAGCGAGCCGGGCAAGGTGAAGAACATGCGCTTCCAGGTGCAGGTGAACCTGGAGGATTACATCAACGACCGCCAGTACGACTCGCGCGGCCGCTTCAGCGACATCCTGCTGCTGCTGCCGCCCCTGCAGAGCATCACCTGGCAGATGATCGAGCAGGTGCAGTTTGTGAAGCTCTTCGGCGTGGCCAGGATCGACAGCTTGCTGCAGGAGATGCTGCTGGGAGGTACGAGGCTGTTCCGAGGAGGGGCGGCCAAGCTGGGTTGTGTTAAAGCTGTTGTAGGGCTTTGTGTCTGCTGGGGGAGGATTGTAGGAATGTGCTTCTTGTTGATGGAGTGACAGAATTGTCCTATGTCTCCTTAAAAAGGAAGAAAGCCCAGAAGTTTCTTTCCTCAGTTAGCAAAAAAGACACCTGATAAGACCTGAGGGACTTTCAACTCAAACTTTTGTGGGGTGTTTTACCAAGAGCAAGAACCTCTTGCACCTAGCTTGGTTTTTCTCTGTAAAGAGCTTTGTTATTTTGCCATTTATTAAAACTTTTCTGTTTCCAACACTACCACAGAAGCCATCCTGCTAATTTTATGCCTTCTAAGGTAGCTGAGCTATCTTGGGTGTGATGTAGGTCTCAAGAGCTTATAAGACCTGACTCAAAGAGACCATATATCAGAGGATGGAGGGAAAGGATTGGGGGTGTTCAGCCTGGAGAAAAGGAGACTCAGGGGTGACTTTATCACTCTGCACAGCTCCTGAAGGGTGCCTGTGCTCAGCTGGGGCTGGGCTCTTTCTCCAGGCAGCACTGACAGAACCAGAGCACACAGTCTGAAGCTGTGTCAAGGGAAATATAGGCTGGACATTAGGAAAAAGTTTTTTACAGAAAGTTCTGGAATGGCTGCCCGGAGAGGTGGTGGAGTCACCATCCCTGGGTGTGTTTAACAAAGCCTGGATGTGGCACTGGGTGCCAGGGTTTAGTTGAGGTGTTGGGGCTGGGCTGGACTCGATGATCTTGAAGGTCTCTTCCACCTGGTGATTCTGTGAATTCTATGAGGACAGAGAGAAAGGGTTTTAAGCTGAAAGAGAAAAGGTTTAGGTGGGATCTTGGGAAAAAATTCTTCCCTGTGAGGGTGGGCAGGGCCTGGCACAGGTGCCCAGGGAAGCTCTGGCTGCCCCTGGATCCCTGGAAGTGCCCAAGGCCAGGCTGGGTGGGGTTTGGAGGAACCTGGGACAGTGGGTGGCATCCCTGCCCATGGCATGGGGTTGAAATGAGATGAGCTCTAAGATCCCTTCCAACCAAAACCATTTGATGAATTGTAGCTTGAAGGGTCCTTCTCACTCCAGTCCAATCCCAGAGCCATTCTTTCCAGCCTAGCTCTGGAAACCTGGTGAGATTCACAGCAAAGGATCCCCTCTGTGGTGTGGCCTCCAACCTGAGACAGTTTAAGGCAGACAACACATCTTTTGTTAGAAACATGTAAAAGCTATAACTTTATGGGAAGCCCGGATAAGAGCAGCACTTGGGACACACCCCCAGGCAGAAGAGTGCAGCTGGAGAGCAGCTGAAAGCCCAGACATCCCAGGGGGCTGCTCCTACACAGCCAGAGGCTGAGAGCAGGGGAAGGAAGCAAAGATGAGCCATTAACCTTCACCCACAGAGGCCTTCCACATCCTCTGGATGGAAAAGATTTAGCCCAGAGCATCTTGTCAGGAGCTGTGCATGGAATGATGTCTCTTCCCAACTGCACTTGCAGGAACCTCTGCTGATCTCCAGTACCAGTCAGCACCTCCCAACCTCAACCTGGAACCACTGCCAGGACACGTCCTGCAAAGCAACATGACCTCTGTGATCCACACTGCTCCAGACCGTATGTCCCCCTTTTTGTGCTATTTACAGCCTATTTTTACATTATTTACAGCCCATCATTAGTGTCAGCATAAGCAAGGAACTGGGCAGCAGACACAGCTCAGAAAAAGAAAAAAATTAATTATTAAATTAAATTATTAATTTATTTAAAATTTTATTTATTTTGAAAAGTTTCTTTTTTAAAGCTTATTTATTTAGTTAACATTTTATTTATTTAAAAAAAAGTTTATTTATTTTAAAATAAATTTAAATTCTTTAAGTTATTGAAGTAAATGTGCGTTTAGTTTAGTTCTTTATTTTTATGAGTTTAAGTGTTACACTGGAATCAGAGCTCACAGCCCCCCTGACTGACTCCTTTCCACGATTCCAAATAGAAGTTAGGGTTTGTAATGGTAGCATGACCCAGGGATTTTGAGATGTTACTGAAACAACACAAGATTGAAAAAAAAGGGCTAGAAATCAAGACTGGGTGTTTCTATGGATTTGGCAGCACTGGGAGGAGCCACAATAGAGGACAGATGGTTCTTTATGGCAGGAGTTCCCTGTGGCTGCTGCCCAACAACAGGACCTGAATACAAGAGCATCTTCAATCCCCCTGGGCACTGCTGGGCTGTGGGTTAAGGCATTTATCCCCTGTAGGACCACGCTGTTGAAAAAGGAAAATAGAACAGGAGGTGGAATTTAACAACACTGCCATGTAATCACAATGTCCTGTACTCACAGTGTCCCTCCCTCTGCCAGTTACAGTCATTTACCTCCTGTAGTGTATTTTGCTGTTTCTCAGCTATATAAATGTTGGCATCATGTATTTTAAGTGGCTTTTATTTAGCTTTTAAGCCCCTTTCCAGCAAAGGAGATTAGAGAAGTGCTCTGTAGATGAGGTGCAGTGGGGCTGAGCTCCTCTCTGACAAGGAGATGAAGGATTGAAGAGCCCTTGGGGCATCCCCCAAGTGCAAAACACTGAGAAGAACTGGTCCATGTCTGCCAGTCCACCCTGTGCCTCCTCACAAACCAGGAAAGGAGGACGTGCCAGGATCCCCCAAGCTCCTGCTTTTGGGTTTGTAGGATGGTTTGCCGATTTCTATTTGAACAGCATCCAAGCCCACGTTAATTCTGTTCCTTTTCTCTCCCACAGCATCTCCCGAGACATCCCTTCCATCTCCTTCTGCCAGCACAGGCAGTGAAGACTATAAACTAGGCTCTAGCGCGGGGCCCAGCACCATAGTGCAGCTGCTGCCTCAGACAGCGATGCCCAAGCAGGAGATTTTATAGGCAGAGGAGGAAGGAGGAGCTGGGAGCAGTGTGGGATCCGTGCTGACAGCGAACCGGGCCCTTTCTCTGTGCAGAGGCCAGGCACAGCACGGCCCTGCCCGCAGCCTTCCCCGCCCGTGAGCCGGGACAGGCACAGCCTGCCCAGGAGCCTCGCCACGGGATTGCCCCCAGCAGCACCCCCGGAACAAGGACTGGGGTTGGTGCCCTCCTCAGCAGGGCCAGGACTGGCAGCTCTTCGGGTTTTGTGTTTGTGACCGTGGCTCGGGACCCTTCATCAATCCAGGGCCTCGCACGGCTCCTGGTAACCCTCACACAGCGTGGCCTGAATTGGGATCAAAAGGTCCATTCCCAACACAAATTTAATTAGTTGCACTCCCATTTCTCCTGTTAAGCTTTAGGAAAAATATCATCATCATCATCATCATCCTTAGAAGGCCAAGGCCTTATTCCACCCAGAGGGGCCTGGTCCCTATAGGGCAGCCAACGCTTAATGCTGTCCAGTTCTTTTTTATGAACAGAAGTGCCAACATTTTGCTCTTTTCCATAATTTCCAGTATAGCCAGAGTCCATTTGTGAGCCAGTGGATGGGTTTTACCTTGTGAGCACATCTAGCAGCAAAGATCTCTGCCCCTCACCATGGCTGCTGCTCTGGCTGATTTGGATAAACCCCAAATCAAGGCTGACTTATCCCAAACCCTGCTTGTTATCTCCTGCAAACTTTTACTGCAAACATTTTTGGAAGAAGCAAATGGCCCACAATACCTTTTCCCAGTACACAGATGTGATTTTTCTATAGTTTTGGGTTTCTTTCTAATGTCTGCAATGTGGCTCTAAATTAGCCAAGAAAAGCAACAGGCAAGCCTGTGAGCCATTTTTTATCAAAAGGGTTTGTATTTAAAACAAGGTGCTTCTGCCTCAATGTAAAATTTAATCAGCAGTTCAACAACAAATTGAATAAGCCCAGTGGTGACTACACAGCCTCAAGAGTTCCCAAGGTGCTGTCGTTGTGCTATGGAGTTGATTTGAATGAATGGGACCTTATTAAAAAGCAAATTATCAGATTTCCACACAACCTAAGCTCATTTGTGCACCAACCTCTGCCAAACAGCCACTGAGGGATCAGGAGTGGCCGTCCTGAGCCCTGGACACGATGGAGAATTCCTGGTTCTCACCCTCTGCACAAATTCCCCAGGCACCCCTCCCTGCTGATGGCAAAGCCGAGCTGGTGGAGCCCAGAGGGGCTTTGGGGAGCACCTGGAGCTGCCCAGCTGGAGGAAACACAATCCCAGCCACTGAAAGGGAGCCTGGGAGGAGCACCAGAGCTTCCAGCAGCAGGGGAATTTCAGCACTGCCACTCTGCAGCACCAGAGAGAGCTGAAAGCCATCAGAGAGCGGCTCGGGTTTCACCTGGATCAGAATGTTTTGTTTTTCTCCTGCCTCTGATGAATTTGAGCTGACGTTTTATGCTGATAGCCCTGATTTGAAACAGCTCTATCTGGAGAGCAGGTTCCACTGCAGGCATTCCTGCTGCATGACAGATGCAACTGTTCTGAGCCAGCATTGCTTCCAGTGCCTCCAGCAGCTCCATTCCATTCCTCTTCCAGACATTAAATGTACATTTATACTCATTAATGGTAAGAAAATAAATCTATGGGGGAAATAAATTCCATATTCTCGTATTTCATCCGGATAGTTTGCCTTTTTTCTTGAATTCAAAACCAAGTTTCCAAGGTTCTCCACTGATTTCTCCAATACAGATATCTATTTTTCATTAAAAAGAATCACCTCTGGCTGCAAAGCCTGGCTTCTACTGGATACTGATGGAATTCAAAAACTAAGAAGAAAATAAAATTGTCCATGCACCAAGGTGAAGGTTTGCAGCAACAATAATTTACTGTATAAAGGCCCAAAATAGAGTTTTGCTGTGAATCTTTCTGGCTTCCCTATCTCAAACCCCATTCTAATTAAACACACCTTGCAAATGACTATTTTATTGCAATGATTTTGTTAACAAAAGAGATTCAAAGCCATCATTTAATAATATTTCCCTTGTCAGGTGCCAGCTACTTATCAGAATGGGGAACTTCAGGCAAGCAAATCTTAAATATTTCTGAGTTATCCCCTTCCTTGCCAATTCTAATATTTGGCATCTTTAACATTGAATGTGGCTCCAATATTAACTTTATGCTGCACTATAATATATGGAGAAATTGCAGAAGTATTTTGGAGGTGCAAAGTTTTGTTTCTGTTATTAAAAAGCAGCCTGTGCTTGCTTTGATGCCTGTTGGATAATTTCCAGGGCTCTGGTTGGGGATGACAGGAGTGAAGTGCAGGAAAAGAGCAGATGTGTTACTGGAACACAGGCAGGAAAAGAATTAAAAGCTATTCAGAACACAAAAAAACATGACTAAGTGAAAGAAGCAGAATAAAAAATTAACAATCTCATCAATGAAGAAGCACCAACCACATTAAAATTAGAATTGACCTGTAACCCTGTTCAGAAGTAAAAAAATAATAAATATAAAGAACCAATGCTGGTGCATTTCATTTCAGTGTTATTAACAGATTCCAGAATCATTTTACAGCCCAATTTATGTATTTCAAAACCCCTTAAGCTATTTTCTTTCTCCAACAGTATTGACCTGAAGCCAACAGAGAGAAGCAGAACAATTATAGAAATTCAACATTTCTGCACAGGACAGGCATAAAGGAATCCATAAATGAATTCTTGCTAAGTCCAAGGCTTCAGAAAGGATTTCTGGGACAATACTGACATTACTACTAGAAATTAAACAAGAAAATAAAAAGGAGATAAATTGGCAAGATCCATCTGCTGGGATGTCTGTTCCCTTCAGAGAATAAACAAACTGTTCCTTAAAATACACATAAACACAATCAAATCATTAACCTGCTCCAAAATACCAGCAGCACTGGCACAAAGTTTGTGTTCATGGATTTGGAGCTCTTTTCAGCATAGAAACATCAGAGTAGAGCATGATACAGACCCAGAAAATATCTCAAAGTGCTTTTTAGAATTATTGCAAGGGAGCTTTGAGTCTGCCCATCCTTTCCTGCCATTTGTTCCTCCTCCCCCTTGTTTCGGTGGACACTCCCAAGCTACTGCTCTCTCCAGGCTCAGAACTCTCTTTGCTCCAGAAGCTGCAGAAACAGAGGAAAAATCCAACATTTGCACAGAAAAACTGGAGACTCAAACCTGTATTTAGCCCAAATTCCTTGGAAGTGCAAAGGCTGGAACACTGAGGTGAGTTTTCAGATTGGAAGTGTTTTCCCACTCACCTCAGACAAACTGGGTGGGAACAATATGAGCTTTAAGGTCCCTTCCCATGTAAATCACTCCATGGTTCTGTAATAAAATAAGCAACTACACCAGAGATGAAGGGAATGCCCAAGAAGGGCTAACAGAATGTAGCTTTAAATTCTTAATAAGCAGAGGAGCCTCTTTAATTTGGAGCAGTATCACCTGTTAATTAATATAAATACAAATTAATTACAAACCAAAGGATTCAAGAGTATTTCCCTGAAGCTGCTTCAATCTAAATATATGTGAAAAAAAAAAAACCCTGACATCTAGAGAAGTTAATCAACTAAGACTTCAATTCATTAGTTTATTCTTTTTTACATTAAAAAAAAATTACAACGTAAGGATTTGAAAAGCCGAGTAAACTGGATTTCACACGCACACATTTGCCAAGTCACAGGGTCCAACCACCTGGAGTGCTATTTTCTGATTTTCTCATTGAACAATATACACAGTAAGAGCCTCAGGACAAAGCCAGACACATTTTTTTCTCCCCAGTCTTTAAGGTGTGCAACTGAATCTGCACAGAATCCTGTGGAACTTCCAGCTTCCCCCTCATATTTGTTCACAGGACTGCAATTCCAGTGGATTTCCACCTAGGAAGGCTCCAGCATTCCACACCACCACCCTCCCCCAAGCAAAGTGAAAATATCCCAAAGTATTGCACAGTTTTGTTCACAGGGCACAGACAAGAAATGGATCCCTCGGTACCTTCAGCCACCCCATGGAACAGAAACTGATGGAGCTGGGATCAGGATGCCACGAAGAGATGGAGAAGCAGGGCACTGAGAAAGGAAACAGCTCCTGCAGGGCACAAAGGTTGGAATGCAGGGCTCTGAGCTGCTTGAGGTGGGACAGGTCACCAGTGCCACTGGCTGAGCAAAAGCAAGAACAGGACAAATTTAAGGCAAGTCCCAAAACAGGGAGCTATTTACTTTCTAGGCACGATTTCAAGCTATGCATCAAGGCTCCTGCTTTATCCTTTATATGGTCAGTAATTTATAGGTTAACAATAATACAAAAAATAGTCTAAATGTCATTTTTAAAGAATCAACTTTTAGCTGGATTTTTATGACTTGCAGCTTGTATTTCATTACTTGCAGATTTATGAACACTTTTTAGCACTACTGTTGTTTGTCAGGCCCACATAAAGCAGTTCTAGATCTATATTGCTCTCGTTTCTTCAAAGTAGTTTTGGTTGGAAATGGTTAAATTCAAAATAACTCTTTCTATTGCAGATGTTTCTACATTTAAGATGTGCTGTACTTGAGAAAGGAGGGAAGTTGCCTCTTTCTCTGCTGTCTTTGTTCAAGGGGTCATTAACAGCTTTCCCTCTATGAAAAGTCTGTACAGTATAAAAGGGGCAGAGCAAGTCCCTACAAGGACAAAGTGTTTGCAGTGAATGACCCCCAATTTGTCCACTCACTGTCACCTCACACAGCAGGACACTGGTCCCACTATCCCTGCACAGTCCACACCTGAGTTCCTCTGCAATCAAAGCATGAGGAACTGGAAATGCACATCCCAGGGCAGGATTTGGCCCCCCACCAGATTACAAGTGAAAATTTAGCCTTTCCCTAAATGCCAGATGGGATGGGCACTGCCAAACACAGGCCATGCTTTAGGGAGCCTGGGAAGACACAGGGCAGGGCGTGACAGTGCCTCCGTGCTGGGCACCAGTCCTGGGCATCACCTGCACGTGAGGAATGTGTGGGACACACAGGGACAGCTCTGCTTATCAGGACAACCTGAAAGAGAAAGGAGAACTGAACAAAGCACAATTCCCTGAAATCTGGACTGAGAAGGCTGTGTCTCACTGGAGATCAACTTCCACCAGAATGCTCCTCCTGATGATTGACAACTGCATCCAAGGACTTAGACTCGTTATAAAAACACACCGGTAATTCCCCAGACATGTATCAAATAAAAAGGGTTTAACAAAAAATTGGGGAAGTAATCTCAGAAAATAAATTACAGTAGCATGACAACATTTGGCTTCTTTAGTGTGACCACGTGCTTATCCTGCTGTGAAGATCATGGCAGATCCAGTTCCTGTCTCAGAATTAATGAGATGTCTGTGACAATAAACGTAGAAAACTCTGCTTGCTACAAGCAAATGTCTGATATCAGTTTCACCTGGTCACAGATTATATGCAGACAGCCTTCTCTGGCCCCAAAATAAATACTATATAGGATTCTTGCAAGTTCCAGCATATTTCAGCTCAAACAGAAAACTCAGGTCCTCCTTTCTTCCCTCGCAGTAGAAGTCTCCTGATCCGAAATCCTGCGAAGGGGTTGATCCACAGGAGGGAGGGCTGGCCCCCAAAAACAGATTTCATCCCTTCCCAGCGGAGCCTGCGCTCCCATGTTGGCTTTTCACTCTTCAGTCTTTCAATCTCCTGCAAACAAACACAGGCAGGGATGCACTGCTAAGTCCAAGGTTTAGTTTAATCTAATGGTGGCTATAAAAACCAGGTTTGCATTTTTATTGTGCTGTTTCATTGTGTTGTTCCTCAGCTGATTGGCTTTTTACTGTTATTTATTAATTATTAAGGGAGAAGTTAGAAACTGTTTTAGCCCTGTGGATACAGGGCAGAAGATTTAGAACATAAAATATGTACAAGAAGGTTGATACCTCTATCTCTTTCCCCCTCAAGCTAAAAGACTAAAATCCCAGAAAAGCTGATGGATCCATGTGCAATATCCTACACTACAAGTTGTTTACTCAATTAATGAAAGCAGACAATAGGGCTCCTGCTCCACAATTACTGGAGGCAGGATTACTCTCCCAAATGCATTATTTTGATGGTCATTTTTTGTGCTTCCCACTAACGAAAGCTCAGTATTTACCAGTTGTTTTGCACTTACTCCTCAGTACAGAAATACACTTTTAAACATGAGGAAATATTGAACAGTCCCAGGATTCAATTCCCTTTCAATTTCCAAGCAATTATTCTGTCCAGGTGTGACACTGCAGACCTAAGGACAAGGGAGCCAATGGCACAAAGTCTGTTTTATCCTCTGATAAAATGTACCACAGTGAGGTGACAGACAGTGATTTTCAGTGTAAACCTGAGAAAAGCAGACACCTCCCATGGCACCCAGCAGGAATTTGTGCCAGCTCAGAAGGGAAAGTCAAACCTCAAGTCAGAAGCTTTGCATTCTTTGTCATTTAAAACCAAATAACAAAATGTCAAAAAAGCAAATAGTGCAAGAACTTCTGTTAGGAAGCAACCCCCACTACACCATTCCAATCTTCCCCCAACTGCAGAAAATAAAAATGATGAACTGTTGAAGTTTTGCAGCTTTCTCTGAAATAACAGCCTCTCATGCAAATAAAACCACATCTAATCACATCTTCCCAGAATAAATTTTACAGAATACAAAAAAGTCAAGGTTTTTACCGTTTCATCATTGCATATTGAGTGGATTTGGGTGCCAAACATGACTGCAGTGAAAGTGAGAAACAGAAAACCCTCAAGGCACAAGAAGATCATCAGGATCACAGTTACAGGTGGGGAGAAGTCACTGCACTCTGTGAAAATGAAATATTGTAGTTACAAAAAAAAACCAACAGCAAATGATAGAGCATGTCCTACGTGTCTGGCACTTGAGATAATATTTCACATTTAAAACAAACTTCTGATTTTGCAGCAGCTTTATTTGCTGATCAAGAAAATAAAGAATTTTATGCAAGTAACACTTCTGGCTTCCTATAAAGCACATGGTAACTATTCCTGCAATCCTGCTTGGGATTTCAAGGCTATCAAATAAATGTTTGCATGAGGTGAGTGCAGAACTCAGAACTGCACATGAGAGAGCAGCTTGGAGCTTCCTGCATGACAGATACTGTAAAACCAACCCCACTCAGCCCGGACTTGCAATACAGATGTTCCACTTGGCTGTCATTGCTTTATTAATTTTTTTATTTTAATTCTCCACACAAAGTAATCAAGTTCTGCCTCACACATCTCTGGAGAGCCTCTGATCATCTGATTAACTCAATTATATTTAAACAGGGATAGTGTACAGAAGGTGAATGTTTCAACTAAAACAAAGTTCTAAGATTCCATCAATTTAATGAAATACTCAGAAAAAAAATTAAAAACCACATGGATTTCCCTGTTGCTTCATAGACCAAAAGAACACACCAACAATCTGCCAAAAGCACAAGACCAGAATGAGCTCTGGCACGTTGGAACATCAAGAAATACAAGCCAGAAGCCTAAATAAAAAAAAAACTGGGTTAGTTTAGGGAATTTCTTTTCTGCAGGAGCCCCACAGCTGAGCTCCAGTAATGGAAAGAGGGAGAAATCTGTTTAAATTTCAGGTGTCATTCCCAGAATTGAGGTGGGGCACACAAAGCCCACGTTTAGGTGATGTAGTGCTGAGGTGTGTGAGGACCAGCTCAGTTTCCTTCCTGCTACAGAGGTAGTGAATTACTCCTGAGTGTAAAGGGAGTGAGAACGCCCCTGACAGCCACAGCTCTTACAGAGAATGACTGAAGGAAAGGGAAGGAAAAACCCAGAAAGGAAAAGGAAAGTGATGGATAAACAGATCTGAAATGCTTTAAGGATATCACTGAAAGATGGGACTAAAATAGGAATGCTATGACTTTTCCCTAATATCTGCTAGACTATGATAATGAAAATTAAGTATTTATTTGCTCACCAGTCCACTGCCCTCGGACACAGGAGAAGAACTGAAATCCACAGAGTACAAGAGCATGAGCTGAAATTAGGGCTATGTACATCTGCAAACAAGAGACAGCATCATTTCACTCTGTCACTGCACAGAACACAGCAAAACCAAGAAACTTTGAAACAACAGCACAAAATTAAAATGAATATGGGTGGAAATACCTTGCAGAGAAGGAACAAACCCATCCAATTTAACAACACTATCATGTCCTAAAGCCATTACTCACTAAGCACAACATAAATTGTTACAAGCAAGGAAAATTCAGACTAAAATCAAGCTGCTATTGCTCACTTACCGTAAACAGAACAAAAAATCTCTGATTTTTCTCCCCCACACAATTGTTCACCCAGGGGCAGTGGTGATCCATCTTTCGGATGCATCGCTTGCAAATACTGGAAAAAGGACAAGAGGCTTCTTGAGAAATTGTATTTGAAATGTAGAAACAAGGGCAGCCAGTGGTC